CAACAGGCAAAGTCTGAAAAAAATGAAAGCAAACTTTAAAGTGTGGCAGGTCCAGTTCATACCCTTGCAGGATGGGTGATCCAGCTCTAAACCTGAGACTGGAGGAACAGGGTGCGTGTCTTTTCCACATCATGTCTCTCAAGGAATATGCAGTGGGGAAGCTGATATGCTTGAGAAATTTGTCCCACAAAAGAGGGGAAAGCTAGTGCAAATCAGGCTATACATACAGAGCGCTTGTCCCATGCATTATTTGGTGAATGGGCAGAAAGAGGTCCCCTGCCTATTTCTCTTCCCCAGGGGCTAGATCAAGGACTGGATAAGTGTCTGAACTGGATTAGAGCTACCTCAGAATGATTGCCTTGTACCGACCCATATTCCACTGATCCACTGATTTCCAGTCTGGATTGTATTTGTGTTCGTACATTCCAGTCTGGATTGTATTTGTGTTCATACATTCCAGTCTGGATTGTATTTGTGTTTGTACACTCCAGTCTGGATTGTATTTGTGTTTTAGATGGTATTAGGGTTTGGATTATAACTCCTGGCTTCATTTGAGTTAAACTAGCAAAAAGCAACACATTCCAGTTTAACCTTTTTGTAGATTAGGCTGCTCATGATGGTGGAACCACCATGGAGAAATTAAAGAGGTGCGCAGGACCAATTGCACATGAGAGTGTAGGTCTTAATGCTGCCAAGTCTTGGCACAAATGCTTTACCGTACTGGCATGGCAGCGAGAGAGAGAGGAGCAGCTTTGATGAATGAGTGGCAAAAGCACGCACACCATGCCTTTGTACACAAAAGCGATCCCAGCCATCCTGGGGCTCCACCCTGTGTGGAGCTGAATGCAGAGCTAGTCCTGCTTACAGCAGACCAAGGGAAGACCATGGGACTTAAACCATGAGTAACTTACTGGTCCACTTATTTCAATGGGTCTACATTACTCACGGCTAACTCCAGATCCAGTCCATGATCAAGTGACCACGGAAACAGTCGGCAGAAACTCCGATGACGTGGAGGCGCCCATAAAATCATAGGAAGGGGTGCCAGCAATGCCTTCATTGTGCCATTTGCAGATTGTGTCGGTCCACGTGTGTGCATGGTCAAGCATTGTTGGGATGGTCCATATCAGCGGCCGCTTTTGAGTGTGTCTACAGAAGAAGGCTGTCACAGCATTAGGAACTCAGATAATCGTGCTTCTTGCCAGGAAGACTCCCTTCCTTGTCCTGCTGAGCAAATATGCTTGAGCAGCGGCACTCCTGAGCATACGCCTGAGCTCTTCCACGGGCGATGCCTGCACATGCTGCTTTCCGGGAGGTGATAAAATGCCAGCCAGATCTAGACAGAGGGCGTGGGGCTCAGAAACATTTAATATGGCCAGCACGGAGAAAGTAAACTGCTCCGATGGCCTGCATAAACGAGAAAGAAGGCCTCCGTAGCGCACACCAGCTGTAACCAACCCTTGACCCAGAGACTGCCTTGTTGCTCCAGGGGCTCCAAGCCAGCAAAGCCTTGCATGGATACGCAGGCTGGCGTCTTGGTGCGGCATCACGCTCCACCACCTCCTGCAGGAAGCATTGCTCCAGCCAGGAATCTGCAAGAACGGCTCGTTTTGTTGCAGCTGTCCAAGCAGGGGCGCTACCTCTGCGGCAGGAACGGGTGGCCTGCTTTCCAACCATTCCTCCAGAGCAGCCCACTGCATTCCATCGAGATTCACTCGGCGTCACCCAGCCTTTGCTAGGCCGAGTTGATGACGAATCCTCATCTCATACGGGTAGTTAGACATTTCCCAGGTAGATAATCCATTGAGACATATTTCAGGTTGGTTTGCTTTTTAAGTCTCAAAATCGCTTCCATTAGCTATAAACACTGGTTATGGCGAAGCATGTTCAGAGAAAAGTGGACCTTTCTGCAGGACTCCTGGCCTGAGTTCAGACAGAGTAGAGAGCTGTCCCTTCAGAGCCATCTTGCCGTAGATCCTGAGCAGTAACCACCTGCTTTCTTCTCATTCATCCAAGGTGGTGGTCAATGCCTTGGTAGGCGCCATCCCTTCCATCATGAACGTGCTACTTGTCTGCCTCATTTTCTGGCTCATCTTCAGCATCATGGGAGTCAACCTGTTTGCCGGAAAGTTTGGGAAGTGCATCAACAAGACGGAAGGCGATGAGCCTTTGAACTACACAATTGTCAACAACATGAGCAATTGTCAAAGCCTGAATGAGACAGGAGAGTTGTACTGGACCAAAGTGAAAGTCAATTTTGATAATGTGGGCGCAGGATACCTGGCTTTGCTGCAAGTGGTAAGTCCAGTTATGATCATTGTCATTGATGAAGGAAGTTCGGGTTGATTAATAATATGACATGTAGCTAATGATTCTAACCAGTTAATTAATTAAGGATCAAATCCTATGCATGTTTAGACAAAGAAAAGGCCGACAACTTCCACCAATTCTAGCATGCCGGGAATTGTAGGCCTTGTTTTTGGCTCAACATGTATAGGATTGTTCCTTAAATCAGCATAAATGTGCCTTTAATGAAAAAGTGAGTGAGACAGGCGGTTTAAGATTGAAGTCATTGCTGAATTTATAAACCACTCCACATCAGAGGATACCTGAATGGTGTGGAACAAATTAGAATACAAAATACCTGAATGTTACAATGATAAATGCTTGTATTTAAATAGTTAAAAAGTTAAGAATCTGCTGCCCCGCAAATTGGAGGGAACAATTTTAGTCTATCAAAATATCTTCACTGGGTTGAATCCAGATTTAAAACCATCCTGGTTGGTGGGCATCACTCAGCCTCATGGCCGTGAATTCTGTATTTTAACCATGGGCTGTGAGAAGAAGCCCTGCCTTTCATCCGTCCTGAATCAGCTCTGTAGAGGGGGGACCCCATTGGCACCTAGTATTATAAGAGAAGGAAAAACACGTTTCTCTACCTGCTTTCTCAGCATCATGCAGAGCAATGTAAATCTCTTGTCTCCCCTTACTTTTTGTTTCTAAACTAAACACTCTCAGATATTGTAACCTTTCCTCCAGCTCTTTCATCATTTTAGTTTCTGAACGTTTTCCAATAACCTTTACAAGAGCAGGGATCAGAACTGTACCTGTGAGGCAGTGTTGCCTAGTGGTTAAGAGTGCAGGACCGGGGACTCAGGCGACCTGGGATCTAGTCCCCACTCAGGCCTGGAGCCAACTGGGTGACTTTGAGCCAATCACAGGCTCTCAGCCCAACCTACCTCATAGGGCTGTTGTGGGGATAGGATTGAGAGCAGGAAAAGGAAAATTATGTAAGCTGCTTTGAGTTCGTTACAAGCAGAATATAAATCTAATAAAAATAAAAATAATTTTCCTAGTGTGGTTACACCAGAGTTTGTATAAGAGCAGTATGAGAGTCACAGTTTTAGTCCCTCCACCCACCCCAAGTTTCTTTTTCGTAGCCTCCTTTAGAGGAAAGCATTTTTGTTTTTCCTTACTGTTAGGTAACAGAAAATTGGAAACACTTAGAGACTCACTGAAAAAATGCCAGAGAACTACCAGTAAGTTCCACTCCACCCTGATCCAAAGCCATACCTGCCAGTGCGACTCTTTAGTTAGGATTCACCTTCATTAGGACTGTTGGATCTCATTAACAAGTGAAGACAGACCCTGGTCTTAGCCTTTTCCTAACTCGGCTTCGAGAGCACCTCCCAAAACACCAAGGTTCAGCCCCTGACAGGCTTCCTAACTTGCTGCATTCCTACATGATCGTCATGTAGTTCCGTGAAGAAATCACGGAGGAAAGGACCCAGACGGACTGGTGCTGGGGAGCGTTGCTCCAGTCCGGATACTGGTGTTCACTGGGGCAGATGCAAGGTTTCTTTGCATCAGCAAGTCCTGCGATTCGCTTCGGTGGAAGGAGCTGACTCGGGCATGCCCAGGAAAAGGGCACGAGGATCTCCCCTTCTGATCCTCCGTTTGCGCTGAGCACTTCCTACTTCAGAAGGAGAGACTTTGATTGAAGGGCCAACTTCTCCGTTCATATCTGGACAACCAGATGTACACCACAGCTTTCATACTTAAGACTCTGCAGTGGATATATTCCAGTTTCCCATTTCTGTGTCGAAAGCTTAGCTAGCAAATATGCATCTTTCTTACTGATAGCAAGAGTCCCATTTTTAAAAAGAGAGACCTTTTTATGCTGTACTGCAGTTCTTAACTTTCTGCTAAATTTACTAGGGCATTTCATATATTGATGTCATGATGCAGTAAATATTTCTAGACGCTGCACAATTTGAGAACCAAAGATTTCATCTATTTGTTTTTCCTTCTTGCAATTAGTAATGTGGAGACAGGGGACTTAAAATAGTAAGTTGCACTGTAAAATGAAATAGGAAGCAAAATCCAAGACACGAGTTTCTCTGGATTTATGATGGATCATCAGCTTGTGTCCCCATTAGAACTTTGTGGAAATGCAGGGGGTACATGGTCTTCTTGCTAGATAAAGTTTTTTCTCTGTGTCTTCATGCTTCTATCTGTCTTAAGGATGGGGGGAAATTTGTTCAGCTTAAATGTTAACTTACCTAATTTCATACTTTGAATCTAATCTGTGAACCAGACACAATATCCTTTGAAACTTGCACTCCTCTTGATTTTTGCAATGGAATTTTCCAGTCGAAACTGCGTTTGCTAATGACTCTTTTGGGGCAAGAGCATACAGAAATGCATACATTAGTTAAACTAACATTCTATCAGGAAAATTGCTGGCAAAATTGTATATGTGAGGCAAAACTGGGTATAAAATGATTGTGTTAGTAGAATTATGTACAGAAAGCTATACAAATTTTCATGCAAGCTTCTTTTTTGAAATCCTTACAAAGTGAATTTAAGATTGGAGAAATCCTCAAGGATCGGGAGGAACTAAATTTAGGATTGGAAAAATGAGAAATTAAAGAAGCCAAATAACAGATTCCTCCATCACGCTATCATCTGTTTAAGGCATAAAGCTGCAACCCAAAATGCACTTATCCCTTGGGAAGTTCAAATTTCCCCGGGAAACTGGTGCCACAACAGCAAAAGACATTGGCATTGCACCAGAGCAGCTTATGCTGTTGCAACAGAATTTGCATAAGCAGTTCTGCCCTTCATATACACAATGCGTGCTAGCAATACTCCTCAACAGAGTGCATTTTCCATCTTACTTCCCCCAATGTTTGCATTTTGTGCACATTTCCCCTGCACGTACACTCTTCTGTACAAAATTTATGATTGGAAAGCTTTATCGCAAAACTCCAAGAACTGCAGCTTTTAGAAGATAATGGAGTTCCTGCTTGTGTGCAAGGTAGGAAGTGCAAAATAGGGTAAGTTGGCATGAAAGCATGAACTGGACACACATCATCCCCCATAGTTGCTGGTAGGGCCCCGATGCTCCATATAACACTTCACTGAGCGAGCACCCTCCGCATCCCGACTGCACATTGTCAAAGGCTTTCCTCCACCTGCAGCATTGCTTTAGGCTTCAAGAGGCCCTCTTCCAAGCCAAGAGGGTGTTTGTCCTTTGGTTCAAGATATGCTAGGAAAACATAATTGCCCTGCAATGTTATCAGCAGATACTATGCTATGTCAGGCTCTGCACTGAACAGCATCTGGGTGTTTGTGCGCCATCAGGGACATGATGTGTGGCATGCAGACCTCCATTTTCCACTCTGACCTTTTGGAAGAACCGAATCTGCCCCGTTCTGAATCTCTTGGCCTGTCCAGCACAGTGTTACCACTCTGGCACCAGCGGTCCAAGTTTTCTGGCAGGGGACTGCCTGGAGATCTTGGGATTGAATCTGGGTAGTGGGAACCCTAGTTGCTGGGGACTGTTTTCATGCCAGGTGCATGACCCGACCAGTGGCCTTTCTCAAAGATTCCTGGTGAATTTAGAGAGCCCTTGGGAGGATGCTGGATGCAAAGATCTGCAAGCGAAGCCCCAGCTATGGAACACTCCTTCTTACAGAAGGGGGACAGGAGACTTTTGATATTCCTGCTTCTCCTCCGAAGTTTCTTGTGTCCCCACAAGGGCTGTAGAGTTTTGGGAACCCTCCAGAACAGCCAAGGGTCAGTGTTGCAGTTGGACATGGAGTGTGAGAAGCGTGAATGAAAGCAAACGAGAAACTGTAAAGCAAGAAATAGAACACGGACACATTGCAGGGATGGGACATTTGCAGTCAGTCAACTACAAAGTGTTTCACGCTGGAATGACAAACTCGGAAAAAAGGGAGTGGCTCTTCAACTGAGGCAAGATGTAGCACAGGCCGTCAAGGGCTATAATGCAAAGTGCAACTGAATCGTATCAGTCAGAAGTCTCAGCAAACCTATCAACTATCATTCGAGCCTATGTTCCAGCAGTGGGTGCTGAAGAAGAAATGGAAAACTGTTCTGCAAGTATCCAAGAGAAAACCGATGCCACACCAGAACAAGACCTGTTGATATGCAGAGCGGAACGAAGGAGGGTTTGGCCTGGAGGTCAGAAACAAAGCAAGAGGGCATCACACGGACGTGTGTGAAGCCAGTCATCTGTTTACACCACAGACCCACTGCAGGCAATTGTTCAGAGGACCAGATGGGTGATGTGGGATCATTTAGGCTTCCCCGCTCCCATGTCTGGTCCATTGGCCTCTGTTGTCAAAATATATGTGCTTTAAAGCCGAGATGGGAACTCACTGCTTTCCTCCTCTCCTCTCCTCTCCTCCTCTCCTCTCCTCTCCCTTTTCTTTTTTCTCTTCTGTTTGATTCATAGTTGGCCGCATCCCACTGGTCCCAAGCTTCACATATAACACACCACCCTTCTAAACCAGGCCTAATCATTAGCCGTATGCTTTCCCTAAGAGTAATTTCTCAGCAGTTTAATCTCGTCCAGCACACTCCTCCATAGGTTTCAATAGTGGGCAACTTTTTAGCTGGCTCCCGTCCAGTCAAGATAATATCACACCACACTCGCAGAAGATCTTGCCACCTCCAGATCTGGGCTGTAAGTGGCTACTAATTCCTTGATAATTTTTCCCCCCATCCTCATTTTTCTGCCCTTCACGATATCACCGCCTCTTTGCAGAAGTGTCTCGCGAAGGCTTCCAGAAGTCCAACTGAGCTTTCCATTATCTTCCCGCTGGCCCCTTTGGGGGCGGGCCTCTCTGTACGGACAGCCTCAGGAACCCAACAATATTTCATCACCGGCCAATCAGCTCCCAAACTGCAACTATGACTTTCAGAGGTTGTTCGGTTTGGTGGTGTTTTTTTAAACCACTAAATGCCTCATTTATTCTCCAACTGGAATCCAGCCCAAATAATGCCCCAGGACAGAAATGTCATGCAGAGATAAAAGATTGCTTTGCCAATGGAAGTAAAGGAGCGGTTAGAGTAATTGGGAAAGCATGCCTCAGACCGAGTGTAACCTCTTTCTTCCCAAGCTAACCTGCTTGGGCCGAGGAAGTGGCTGCTAAGTGGAAAAAGGGACTGGAACAGGCTCTGTTACCAGCCAGGCGATTAGAGAAGCATTGGGGGGGGGGGGGGAGAAAGGATTAAGCCACCTGAGCAAAGATCAATATACGAGATTAAAGAATCATTTGTTTCAGTGCAACAGCTTGTCATACAGCCTCCCAACCCTAGCATTAATATCACAAATGAGTCCGCCTATTTTCCAGGAGCCAAAGGCCACAAAAAAGATAAACGAACCTAGTTTTGACAATCAGTGAAATGCTCGATGATTTGATCTCTCCGCACTCCCCCTGCAAAATTAAAAAAGATTTTAAACACAGTTATAAACAGATGGATAAATATGAGTTTGAAATCATTTTGTCCTTTAAAACAAATATTTATATCCAAAGTAAATGTGAGCAATGGAAATTAATGGAAACTTAAAACAAGGGCGTTTCCTTCTCTCTCTCCCCCAACAATCTGCGCTCCCACCCCAAAAGGCCTGCCAGGGGTCTGCTTTCCTGAGCAAAGGGGGACTGGGATGAGGGCCTGCCACAGAGGAACCATCCCAATTTGAGCTTCAGTTCTGTGATGAGTTTGCTCAAGGAAGTTCATGAAAACAATGCTGCTTCCCCACCCTTCCTCCATCATCCTCATGGTTCCCATCCACATCTATGGACTGTCAGGGGACTGGCAGCTACCGCGAGTGGGTGGGAGGCTTTAATCCATGGACATCCTTAGACAATTGTGCAATCTAACTCAGAATCTTCTTTAAACAAGAATCGCCAGACAGAGAAACCAGCCAACTTGTTGCCCAGCTTTGCAAGACTGGGGAAGGAAAATGAGCCACCGTAGCCTGTTTTCCTGTCATGTACCAGTCCCGCACTGCCAAATCGTCGTAGTTAACCTTGCATGTAGAGTCTTCCGCTTTGCTTGAACTTGGTGAGGGCAAGGGGCAGATGGGTTTGCAAACCACCCTGCACCCATGTCTGGTTCCAGGGTTGTGGGGTGGCTGCTAAACTGCTCCTGCCCCGCACGCTTGCTAGCTTCAGAGGACACAGCAAATCACAACTGGTGAGACAGAATCTGTGGGGTAGTTTTAATTTACCAAGAATATTGAGAAATAAACCCAAAGTCTCTGCAAATGCAGCATGGTAGCAATACAGCCAGTGCTGATAGGAACCCTGATTTTGATGGTCCTCATTTCATGCATAGCTTTTCTTTTTCCCAGGCAACTTTTAAAGGGTGGATGGACATCATGTATGCAGCGGTGGATTCACGAGAGGTGAGCTACTCAAATCAAGGGCATTTCTCTAGAGATTTGCTTTGTCTGTATGTTTTGCACGTTAGTCAGCCCTGCTTGCCAATGATGGACACGATCCTCTGGGAGGTCCTCTTGAAAAGGCAGAGACAGCCTTAGGAGGTGTACCAAAACACCAGTTTTCCAGAGCTTCCTAGTGCTCATTGTTCCATTTGGGCTCATGGAGAAGTGTTTCCCAGTGGACTGTATCTGAAGTTACCTGCTCTCACATCCCGGCACTCTTCAGCACTGTTTTAGACTTTGCTCCTTCAACTGAAAGTCTTTGTCAAATGTGCATTGACCTTGTTAGTTTATTGTGCCTGCTTTGGCCGGTAGGAATTCCAGAGCTCTTCCCTGGATGGTGGAAAGGAAGGGAAAATCAGCAGGGGCACAGAGGGCTGTGGAACCAGGGTATATGGGAATAAAGGGACTCCACTGAATCCACAGCCTCTTCATTCCTCTGACACATTCTTCAAAGGAGCCGCATGTCCAGGGTGCATAATTTCCCTTCCATTAGTATGTATGAAAGGGTCATGGGTAGAACCCATTCGTGGCTTGAATCTGGACAGGAAAAACAGGAGTTCTTTCCTTGCCTTTGAGCTCAGGAAACAACCATTTTTCTGCCAAGGACACTTCCGCCACCTCCATGGATTGCTCCAAAGTCGTGCAAAGCTCTACCCCGGGGCACTGGGCCTTTTTCAGCCCAAGCTCCGCTTTGGAGATTCTCTCTGGGGGCTGTTCCAGGAGTAGGTGAGGCCAGAGACAAAGGGCTGGGCCCAAGCCACTTTAATCACTCGCGTATTTTCGCTTAACGCTCTTACTGCCAGTAACAAGGCCTTGGTGGGAGTCCGCTCTGCCTTTTATAGTGGCAAAATTCTGCGCAGCATCTGGGAAACTGATCATTTGTTAGAGGGAACGTGGGGACCCCTGATGGAATAGATGCAGAGCCCAACCTAAGGGTTCCAAGCCCCTGCTGTGCATGTCTGTTTCGAGAGGAGTTGCTTTCAGACATGTCTGTATAGGATTGCAACCTGTCTAAAGCCGTTCTGTATGAAGGAGGGGCATGCGGCAATTGGCAGAGGGGGAGCAGGGAGGCCGTGCTGACCAGCCCTGTAGCCAAAGGGTTCCTTGGGGCTGAGTGTAACATGTTCCTCATTTTAAGATGAGACACAGAAAAGCCCTTCAACTCCCAGCCCACCCCAGCTAACCATTTTTCAGGCTACCATGCATAGGGTAGCACCTTTCCATTAGCATGTATACATATTAACACGGTGAAGATGCCATTGGATTCATACTCTCCTCTCTTGCTTTTTCCATTTTGCTTTGGCAGCGTGAGGAGCAGCCTGTGTGGGAGTATAACTTGTATATGTATCTCTATTTTGTGATCTTCATCATCTTCGGCTCTTTCTTCACTCTGAACCTCTTCATCGGGGTCATCATTGATAATTTTAATCAACAGAAGAAAAAGATAAGTGGTGCCTTGTTTGTTCTGCAGTTGCTGGAATGAGCTAGGAGGGTAACCCGACGGCAGAGTGAGCCCCCTCTTTCGGTCAAGGAGTCCCAGATTCAATCTTGGCATCTGCAGGGGAAAGGTGCAAATCACAGAGGACAATAAAGGCCCTCTGCTGCCAGCCCAGTGGCCGTGCTGGGCAAGGCGGACGGAGAGTTGGCTGACTAAATCTGTAAAGGAGGCATATGCAAACACTACGGCCTGGTCTGCTCTATGGCTTCCATGTGTAGTTCAGAGCTGGATCGCAAACCATGGTTTGTTTATGGGGATGGATTTGGACACAACAACAAACCAGATTTCAACAAACCACACCACGGTTTAGCCTTATGGGCAAACCAGAGCATGGCTTTTTCAACACCACGCCAACGCTCAAATGATTACATAGAAGTGCTATTCCATGCACCGAATGACCAACTGCAACCTGTAGAGTGTGAGTGTGCCAGCAGCACCGCTAGGACAGAGAGTGTAGTGTGCGGTTTCGTCAACTTGGAAGCGGCACTGGGCCTCACCTTCCCAGTTTTACGGCACATGCTTCAGTTTTTCTTGCATTTGTACAGGGCCATGATTCTACCTGTGTGCAGAATTGCAGCCATTAATGGCCACATGCCTGGAAGCAACAGCCAGTCATGGGGACCAAGTGTCGAATTTTGCTGCTGCTGCTGTTATATTTCTGTGCCACCCAATAGCCAAAACTCTCTGGGCTGTTTGCAGTGGCATATAAATACAATAATCATTATACTATAGAATATATAATAATATTTTATATTATATTGTATTGCATTATAATATAATCATTATATTATAATACAGAAAACTTTATAACCATTGTGCTACAAAATGTAAAAGCCAGATTAAAGCTAAATATAAGCAGCTACGACAGCCAACACAAACTGGAACACAAGATCTGTTAGAAAGCTGACAGAATGCCTCAGGATTACAATTGGTCGCTAATTAAATGTCCTGTCATACAATATTTATGTATGTAGTCATCGGATTTCTGTCCTGCCTTTTTTTCTTACAAAGAACTCAAAGCAAAGAACTCTCCTTCTCCTGGTCAAAATTTTATCCCCATAACAACAACCCTGTGAGGTAGGTTGGACTAAGAATCCGTGGCTGGCCCAAAGTCACCCATTTGACTCCATGGCTGAGCAAGGACTAGAACTGAGAGTGCCTCGGCCCCATGCTCTTCACCACCACACCACACTGGCCCCAGTACGGTCACACTGGGGCAGGGACACAAAAACTCCCATGCCAATGACCCCGCTTGTCACTGACCACCATCCCGATGATTCCCCACTAATGGTTACCCTCTGCTTTCGGCCAGTCAACCACGCCAGTCAATCCACCGGACAGTGCATTGGTCTATCCCAAAACTCCTCGGTTTCTCAAGCAGGATATCATGGGGCACTTTGTCGAAGAAGAGTCAACATACCCCCAGTGCCAGCCCAGTTTAACCTAAAGCTCTTACAGCCTCTAACTAAGCCTTAGAGATGCATTTCAACCTTTGGGGATGTGGACAGAAGGGCACTAAAGCCAGGGAGCCACCGAAGGATCAGGAGAAGGAGGGCGTGGCCCTCTGGGTAGTCCCAGAGGCTCTCTTGAGACCCAGACCTGGGGTCTCATATCCCTGCCATACGCAAGGCCCATAACCTGAAATGATCTTCCACAGCAGGCGATTGTGGCTTGTGACCTAGCAAGCCACACGCCTAGGCGTGGCTTTGATTCATTGGGTCCCATCTGAGCAGGACTGCATCTGAATACAACCGATGTGTATTCGGTTGTATACAACCACATCCGTACAACCTGAATACAACCAGATCCATACAACAGATGTGTGGATACGATTCCACACATCCGCGTCCCATACACGATCTGTTCCATTATCATTATAAGTTCTGAAAAAGAGCAGCAACCCAGCCTATTCCCAGGCAAGTGGAGTTGGTTTTTGGCTTAATGGTTCACCTCTAATCAGACTGAGTAATGAAAGGTAATGCAACAGACACATCCTCAACTTCCTAGAACCCTTTAGATTGGACAGGATCAATAAAAATAAAAAATAATGAGAATTACAGAAATTCTTCTAGTATCTGTGAACAGTTTTCATCCTTAGTTATAAGGTGCTAGGAAAGGGAAAAACCAGTTACAACCTTCACTATCTCAAACATCTTTTTCTTTTTTTAACACCCAAAATAATTTTAGTTTTATTCCCCCTGTACTTAGGTGGACAAGACATCTTTATGACAGAGGAGCAGAAGAAATACTATAATGCCATGAAAAAACTAGGATCCAAGAAGCCCCAAAAACCTATCCCACGGCCAGTGGTGAGCTATAGATACCTGATTGGTTTCTTTGTTTATCATAAGCATTTTTATACTGACTTTCAGTTGTGTTCCCAGGGGAGTTTATAACAGCAGTTGCAAAAGAAGAAAAATACTTGTATCCACAAAACATGGCACCATTCAGTTGTTAGTTTCTCCTCCGGTGCAAAACACCCTGCAATTTCAGAAGAGGCTGCAATTGCCAGGAAAGTGAGATTCTGCCCAGATGTCTGTCTTCTGGGCACCCTGGACACTGACTTGTTAAATGCAACTTTCCGGTCACGTGTGGCAGAAGACCTGCTGGAGTAGCTCAAAACTGTGCAAATGTTACTTGGCAGGAAGGGCACGTGGTCGTGGATGTGATCCTGGCTCTGCACCAGCCTTGCCCAACCAGATGTCCTGTAGCTGTTTTCGACTACACACCCCAGAATTCCTGCCCATTGGCTATGCTGACTGGGGCTGATGGGAGTTGAAGTCCAGAGCACCTGCAAAGCACTAAGCCAGGGAAGGCTGCTCTATACATATGGGGTGTAATCCTGGCCACATTTCAGCAGGAAAAGGTCCCGCCACTCCCAGCTTTCCCATCAAAATAAACTGGGCTTTTGCCATTCACCTTAATGAAAGGGATGGGGTGAACCTTCACGAAAGACGATGTTATTCTTCTCCTGCAGGGATGCTAGGCAAGTTATCATAGGCCTGTGGACCAATCAGAGTCTCACGAGAACACAGGGTCACGTGCCAGCTCCCAGGAGATTATCCCTTGATCTTGCATGATGCCATGGGAAGACACCCAGTGAGACCCAATGGCATCAACAGCACCTCAGTCCCTCCTTCCCTCACATGATGCATAATGGCCCATTGGTGCCAGTTCTTACTGGCCCAGAATGGCTAGTGGCTTCTGCCACCCCTAAGCCTCTGCCCAGCAAGCAGCTCTCTTCCCTCCCTCCCTCCCTGTCCCCTGCTGGTGGCTACCAAATTTGGAAGTCGGGCTCTTGTTAATTCATCCTGGAAGTGGAGGTCTACAGTTGTGACGCATAAGGGGACGTACTCTGGAGCAACCCTTCCAAAGTTATGCCCACTTTTGCCCCCTCAGAGGCTTGTGTTTACACTCTGTGACTGCACCTTGGAGGCCTAACCTGCAGGAACGTTCTCTGCAAATGCAGCTGGCATCTTTCACTCCGAACACAAGTCAGGCCAAATACGTGGTGTTTCCAACGTTGCTCCTCTGATCTACTGATGCTTGTGTCTCCCCTGTGTCTCTAGAACAAGTATCAAGGCTTCATTTTCGATATCGTCTTGAATCAAGCCTTCGACGTTAGCATCATGCTTCTTATCTGCCTCAACATGGTCACCATGATGGTGGAAACGGACGACCAGAGCCCGGAAAAAGTGAACATCCTCTACAAAATCAACATGATCTTTGTGGCCATCTTCACTGCAGAGTGCATCTTCAAAATGGTGGCCCTAAGGCATTACTATTTCACCAATGGCTGGAATATCTTTGATTTTGTCGTCGTGATCCTTTCGATTGTAGGTAAGTCAAACCAGGCAAATACATACGTGGAATGATGGCTTGTCTAGCTCGGGGGCCGCTTCCAGCTCCTTGGGGTTTCCTAGACGACCATACCTCCTCCTGCAGCTCCGTCCTCCACCCACCCACTATTCATGATAAAGATGGAGTGGCCTGGAGAACATGAGAGAGGGAGATGGTATAGTGTTTCTTCTCCCTCTCCCATCATATGAAAACCCAGCAGGGATGAGCCGATGAAGCAGATTGGTGGACAATGCAGGGTGGACCAAAGGAAGGACATCTTCACGTAGCACAAAGTGAAACTATGGCATTGACTTCCAGGGGATGTAGCAATGGCCGCCCATTTGGCCACTGGAGGAGGAGCCTCCATCAGTATTTACTAGTCCTGATGGACAGATTCCACCTCCCCACCCTCAGGGGCAGTATGTCCATGTGCACCATCTGCTGGGGACTTTGGAAGGGAAGGACCTTGGACAGGCGTATCCTGGTTGCAGGTTTGCTGTGGACACTGGGTGGACTCTGTGTGAGCAGGACGCTGGGCTGGAAGGACGCTTGGCCTGGCCCGGGCCCTTCTTGTGTCCTTTTCCTCTGCTCTGGCTTCCCTTTGGTCAGTGGGAGCATGAAGCTAAATTATGCCAGGGATCTCTGCATTGTTGGCCCTGCCCTCTGCCCAGGATCCCAGCCCTTCTGCCTTTTGTCCTCCTCACGATTCTCAGAGCACCGCTCCGAAGCTGAACCCAGCCTTTGAGCTGGAAGACTTTCAGTACTGCTGGTCCTGAACCACGTGGCCAAACCGGCTCCAGAGCCGGGGGCCCTGATCTGACCTCAAAATCCCTCATGGCAACATGTGACTATCTCAAAGTGGCCGTGGTACAACAGCGCCTGTTTTGGCATGCTATTCTTTGGAATGTTCCAGCTTGTCTCCGGCACATCTAGAGGGCAGATCATCGCCTCCTGGCCCATCCCGTCATTTGGAAGTTTTCCGGGAGGCTGTGAGTAATGGTCACATGATCCCATGTCAGGAGTGTGATGGGATATTCACAAGATGGATCATGATGCCAAGGTCCAGGCACTCACAGCGGGCAGCATCACCATCTCGCCACGCAGCATGTGAAGATCTAATTGCAACGGCGTCCTTCCCAGCGATTCTGGGAAGAACTCGTAGGACTTGTGCTAGGCCTGTTAAACGGTGTGGGCTTCCCTTGAATTCTTCAGAGGTTTCAGGAAACTCCAAGTTTAATCCAGTGTTTGTATTAGGCAAAATTTTGGTCGCACCTCCTAAGTGCAGCTGTGCTTGACCCTTCTCTTCTTCAGTGTCCTCACTGCTAACACGAGCAACCAAGCGGTCTGAGGCCAGCGAGTCTCCTTCTCTGCCTCCAACGTCAGGTGGAGGTGCGCCCCCAACTATGCTTGATTCACAGTGGGCTGAACCGGGTGGGCTTCTTGTCTCTCTGATGTAAACGGAGATGTGTGTCCCCTTCTAGGCTGGGCAGTTTTATACACAACTTGTTGCACACAATTGGACTTCAACTGCCGACCCACCCCAGGGTTCCCCTGAAGACACACTTCGTTTCTGTCCTTCTGCCTGGTGTTTGGTAGTTTTCCAGCATTTCCTTATTCCTCCCCCATTCTAAAGGCTTAAAAGGACTTTCTGCAGGTTTAGTTATCGGCGTTCAGGAGTTGAAGCTGAAATGCGCTGATATTTTTGCATGGTGACTGTGCCTTTGGCCGCCCCTGGGATGCAGCTCCGGGGAGCTTCTCCAGCATCGGGTTGGATCCTTGGGCTGAAAGAGGTTCCGCTTGTGCAGGAATGCCTCATGCCCTTATTTTGGTAATCTGAGCTGCTGACTTAACTGAATATCGACCTTCTTTGCTAGTGCACAGACTGAACAACCGTTTCTTCTTTTTCTTCCCCTTTCTTCTCCTAAGGCTCTGTACTGTCTGACATCATCCAGAAATACTTTTTCTCCCCCACCCTCTTCAGAGTCATCCGCCTGGCACGGATTGGTCGGATCCTGAGACTCATCCGGGGGGCCAAAGGAATCCGGACTCTTCTTTTTGCCTTGATGATGTCCCTTCCTGCCCTGTTCAACATCGGCCTCCTGCTCTTCCTGGTCATGTTCATTTACGCCATTTTTGGCATGGCCAACTTCGCCTACGTGAAGCACGAGCATGGGATCGACGACATGTTCAACTTCCAGACCTTCGCCACCAGCATGCTCTGCCTCTTCCAGATCACCACCTCTGCCGGCTGGGACGGGCTCCTCAATCCCATCTTGAACACCGGGCCGCCACATTGCGATCCAAGCCATCAAAATGCCAACGGCTCCAAGGGGAACTGTGGCAGCCCCGCCGTGGGGATCCTGTTCTTTGTGACCTATATCATCATATCCTTCCTCATTGTTGTAAACATGTACATAGCGATTATTTTAGAGAACTTCAGTGTCGCCACTGAAGAGAGTACAGAGCCTCTTAGTGAGGACGACTTTGACATGTTCTATGAAATCTGGGAGAAATTTGATCCCGAAGCCACTCAGTTTATCGAGTACGCTGCACTTTCCAATTTTGCAGATGCTCTCTCAGAACCTTTACGCATCGCGAAACCAAACAAGATTAAACTCATCGCGATGGATCTCCCCATGGTCAGTGGGGACCGGATCCACTGCTTAGACATCTTGTTTGCGTTCACCAAACGAGTGTTGGGAGAGTCGGGGGAGATGGATGCCCTTAAAATCCAGATGGAGGAAAAATTCATGGCTGCCAACCCATCGAAGATTTCATATGAACCCATCACGACCACGCTCAGGCGGAAGCAGGAGGAGGTTTCCGCCATTGTCATCCAAAGGGCCTACCGGAGCCACCTTTTCCAGCGCTCCCTCAAGCAGGCCTCTTTCCTGTACCGCCAATACACCTGCCCCACGGGGGACGAGGCCCCGGAGAAGGAGGGCCTCATTGCGTCCATGATGAGCGAGAACTACGGGCGGCCAATCAACAAGTCCGAAACCCTCTCCTCCACCTCTTTCCCTCCTTCCTACGACAGTGTCACCAGAGGCACCAGCGACAACTTCCCGCTGCGGTTGACGGACTCTAGCAAAAGCGACGAGGCTCTCGACAACCCGTTGTCGCCCGACAGAGACCGCGAGTCCATCGTTTAAACGTGTTCGTTCGGGACACTTTACAAATATTGTTTACAGAATGTAATGCTGTACCTACACAACCGTCGAAGCAGCCTTGTCAAACATGAGTTGCAAAGGAAACCAGAAGGGAGGCGCCCCCTTTCCGAGGGGCATGTCACTGGGTTATGTATGCATACCCTTTGACCCTATTCTTCTCAACTTTGCTCAATGTTTATATTTATATATGCACAGGGACGGGGAGGGGCATCCAGCGTAAGGCCACGGCAGTGGTGTGATTGCGGAGACGCTAGACTTCAACACAGTAAATACTTTATATCTATCCACAGATAAAACCTGACCGCATACTTTGATTTTCAGGTCTTACTTATATTAGCGCGTTTACTTACAACAATGTACGACCTTGCATTCTATACGAACGATGTGAGAACGATGAGAAAAGAGAGAGAGGGGACGAGAGGAAGGACTTGTGTAGCTGCTGTAGCAACGATGTAACACTAATGTATATGTTGTGAATGGTCTTTCATAAATTTATTATATTTGATATTTTTTTACTTAAACACAAAAAGATATAATTGTCTCTTTTTCCACGGAGATTGAAGATGCTAACACTATGGGTGAGCTAGGAAGGAGAGCTGGTTGTCCAGAGCACTACTGCTTGTCGGGGTTGTGAATTGCAGGGCAAAATATTAAGACAGAAGCGTTCTAACTTTATATTACAGCAGAGACACTTGCTTGGAACATGGGTGTGAGGGTCAGCAGTTTAAACCCAGGGAAAATAGCAAAGGGAAGGAAGGAAGTGACGTCAGGTGGAGCACAATATGGGCTGGAACTTATTTTTATTTTTGTTCTATCCTGCAGGATATTAGACACTAATGGATTCTGCTTGTAAACCTGCCAATAAAAGCACTATTTTTTTACTATGTTTCCAGGATCTGCTTTGCATGTCACAAGTCATCTGCTCCAAGTCCCTTTCAACTTAGCTCCTGGCTTTTGAAATGTCCCTCAGGCGCCATTCCCCCCAGTTCCTGCCCCAAGTAACAGGCTCTCGGGATCTTGGTTTTGCTGATGGTTTTTCCTTGAAGCTAAGCAAACTTTGATTTCATTTTCATGAGCATAAGTAGTTTTATTTTTATGAGACCAGACTGGTTAACTGAGGTGGAAGAATTGCTATTGACAGCATGCAAGGAGAATCGCTCAAGGAGATTATAAACAAGGCCTGTGCAGCCCAGCAGTGGAGAGCCTTCCCCAAGTTAAGGAGGTGCCACGTGAGCCTTCCCACATGTAAAGAAATGAGATTTGTCAAATTTTGAGTGAAAAGCACCTGATTTCTCAGGTACCCTGCCGAGCAAGTTGCTGCTTTGAAATTTGATAGAGCTTTTTGCACAGGATGTCAAAATGCATCTCGATGGCCGATCGATTCATGTTTCCTGTTCCTTGCGGTGTTCTCTCTTGCCTGGAATTAACCAAGTTCTTCTAAGCACAGCACACAATTATATTGTGATAAAGGGATTGCTGGTTGGGGGTAGCTGGGAGTTGTTTAACACATCAGGGAGGTACCAGGCTGCAGAAGAATGGAGCAGCTATGTCCTCCTGAGGTTACTGGGACATGCAAATGGGCCAAAAGTGAGTGTACAGTGGTCCAATATAAGCATGGAACCTCGTTTTTCTCGGTCGGTGCATGAGTCACATCTCTGTTGGCTTATTGCAGGGGTTCGCAAGCTTGTGACCTATGCAAAGTTTGAGAAGAACGGTGATGTGGAATTGACTATGAAACCAGGAAGTACAAACAGGTCAAAGATCAATGTGGAGCATAGCTTTCCTCAAACTATGTACAGGGCCCCCTTGAGAGAGCTAAAACTGATGGTCACAAAATGGTGGCAGGTGGAAACAGATCATGGCATTATCCATGATCATTTCTGAAAGATAATCCTTGTTCAGACCTGTTTGTATTCTTTGGCACGGTGATTTCCTTGTAGCTGGGAGTTCTGTCATCCAGTTTTCTTCAAATCAAGTACAGATAACTGGCTTGGCAGGTGTCATGGCTCAGTTTCCCCATTTCAGGCAGAATTTGCTCATGGAGGCTTCAAGTCATCGATTCAGAGCAATGGTCCCACCCAGTCCAGCCCCCATGCTCTCCGCCAAGACGGCTGTTCTCCCTTTCCCTGACCTTGCCCTCTGTCCCCCAACCCAAGCATCTTTGCACACCCCGTCTTTTGCCCACATTGTTTCTGACAGTAAGCGCTTCTGTTACAACATTTCTGGTATTTTGGCGCTTTCCTTTTTGACGCAGCCCCTGAAGTGGACATGGAGGACTTCTGAATTTTCCGCTGCTTGTCTTCACAATCCATCTCAAAATATTCTCCCAGGCCTCTTACCACCCCCCAACCCCCTGCCATCTCCTTTCTCATGTAACCCCCTTTCTCCCACCCACCTTCCCACCCTGCTGACTCTTTCATCCCTTGGCCTGAAAGCCGCTCTCAGCCCCATCACTGTTCTTCTCGTGACTTGCAGGACACGCGCATGGATGTATGTCTTCATAGGATCGCACATGATCAAACTTGCTCACGGACACCTGCAAGAAGTATCAGCACCAGTCAAGCTTCCCTGAAGTAACTCATCTAAGGGAATTCACTGCCGTCATCTCCACCACCTTCAGTGGCTTCAGAAGAGGACTAGACAAATGAATCCGTTGGGCTTCTACTGAAGCTCAGGAGCTGGAGCTGGTGTGTGTGGGAGAGACGGGGGGTGGGGGGGCAGGAAAGACTGATGGGAGGGGAACTCTTCCCTGTCACTCTCTTTAGCTCAGGCAGCAGCAGAAGATGGAATGCGAAGGAGGATGTCTGGGAGGACAGGTGTCCCTGGAGGCACCTTGTCAACCTTCATGGCTGAGCGCCATCAGAAGTACCAGTGGAGAAAGATGAATAGACGGGAAGCGCCAGGGCTCTTGGGTTCCCTGCTGCTCACTGCCATCTTCCTGAAGCCACAGGAGGCCAGGTCTGTCCTTTCTGCACAGCCAGATGCCATGAGGAATGCTCTTCTGCCCGCAGGTTTCCCAGACCCTGCCAGACCACCAACCCAGCATGGAAAGAGCGCTGGAAAGAGCGCTAGAGTCCAGCACCTAACCACTCCAGTGGTTGTTGCGCCCAGACTGGCAGCTTTTAGTTGTTCAACGTTGGCACATTTATGGGACATTGTACTAGGGTGGCCATGTCTCCCCTTTTAGAGAGGACTGTCCTTTGCCGGAATGGCTGTCCCATCCACTGCTAGGATAAGGAAAGGGAAAGTAGAGGCTCTGGCGTTACCCACCCACAGCACTTGGGCTTCAGGCGGGGCACCAACCCCAGCTGCAGCCCAGCCATCCCCACCGTGGAAAGAGCCATTGCATTGCTATTGAAATGACAGCAATTACTTCTCAATTTATATCTATGCATATACATGCATGTATGCAAATAGGCCTCCTCTCTTGTCACTATCTTGGATGACGCATGTCCCCCCTTCTTTGGCAATCCCCAACGGCCACTCCACATGTGAGTAAGCATCATCAAAACTGCGGCTGCAGCTTTTCAAGCCCATCCAACTTCCTCTGAATCATGTGGCCTCACCTGTCTGGGGGGGGGGGGGGGGGGAGGGGGTCGTCACTCAGTGGGAACGAACATTTTGCATGCCAAAGCCTCCCTCCTTGGCCTCCCACTTAAAAGGCTTGGGTGGGCGGTCATGGGAAAGGCCCTGGTGGGGCAGCCAGCAGCTCTCCCCCCACCCCAGAGGGCACTTGGGGCTCCACTGTGTTGAACTGGTACAAGCCGACACATTGCAGTGGGCACAAAATCCCCCCTGCAAAATGCAAATAACCAAGGATGCCTTCCATTTGCTGCTGGGTGCAGGAGGAGAGAGGTCCAGCACCTGAAAGGAAGGTCACCCCGTTCCCTAAGCAGCCAGGTGGCTCACCCCATCTTCCTGCCCTCTGCCAGGGAGGTTTGCTGTGTACTGCCCAGCGCAGGGATGGGTGGGACCCTCTGTACATTGCCGAGGCGACTAGAGGGACCCCTTCTCTTCCACCGTGGAACAACTCACAACACATGCAGGGAAGAAAGGTCTCTTGCCCCGGTCGCCTGGACAATTAAGGGATGCCCCCTTTGCTGACCCCTCTGCCATGTCCATCTGCACATCTTCCCCACTCCCGAAGTTTCGGAAAAAGGGACAACTTCACCGGCCCAGTTCAGGCTTTGCAGCCCAGCAAAAGAAGACGCTGAAGTTGCAGCAAATAAAAGGGGTGTGTGCGGAAACGTTATTATGGCCTTGGACTGAACACGGGCCTTTAGGGAGGGGGACCTGCCGGCAGGCCCTCTGCCTGTCCCGCCAGCTCCCGCCTCCCTCCGTGGCTTCCTCAGCAGGCCACCTTTGACGCTGCATCTTAAGAGAGGACGAATCAATGAATCCAACTTGGGTAACCCTTTTATCAGGAGGTTAATTGCTGCACTTTCGAGGCTTTGCTCTGAAGGATGAGGTACAATCTATAGAAAGACTTGCATTAATTCGAGGTCGCACTCAACCGAGCTCCAGGAGGGGTTCTCTCACTCTCCGCTCGCCACACCTGGAGAAGCGTCCGGAGCTGGACGAGGTGAAGCAGCCAAGGGCTGGGGCGGTTGGGTGAATTTCGAGCAAGGGTGGGCTGCCCATCCCTTGCTTGGTGGAGCCAAACAGTTCAAGAGAGGATAAAACAGGAATCCCAGGCCAGAACAACGGGCACAAAAGCAAGCCGCTGTGGAAGAAGTTCAGGGGTGGACATGAAAAGCAACGCGTGATTGCTGCGGGGTCGGAACCAAGGACGCTTTTTCCCCAGCCGTGGTCCGCCAGCGGCCTACGGGAGCCAAGAAGCCGGACCGATTGCAAAGCTACCAAACACATCAGGTTGGGTGCAGAATGTATTTCTTGCTGTTGTGCAAGTCAGTCGGAGAGGGAAAATTATTCCCAGCATGGAGACAACCATGATGCACTTGGAAACAATGAGGAGGGGTTGGAAAGACATGGTGGCCACCCTCATACAGCTCCACTGACCTGGCTAAAGGCACAGGCATTCAAGGCCAGCCTTTTCAAAGCTAAATCCGTTTTTATTCATCTGTTTATTAGATTTATACCCCCTTTTTCTTCTTTAAAGAACTCTAAGCAGCTTGCATTATTCTCCTCCTGCTGCTTTCAATCTAATCCCCACAACAACAACCCTGTGAGGTAGGTTGGGCTGAGAGTCTGTGACTGGCCCAAAGTCACCCAGTTGGCTCCATGGCTGAGCGGGGACTCGAACCCAGGTCCTCTGAGTCCCAGTCCCATGGTCTTAACCACTACACCACACTGGCTCACACCCTCAAAGGCCTTAGCCCAGATTCGTTTCTCCACATTCGAATGTTTAAAATCTCACATTTGTTTGGCTTCCAACATGGGGAAGCTGGAGAATTTGAGTAATTTTTTAAAACAAAACTGAATTAGCATGAAATTCTTTCCAATCCCTAATAAAATTGGTGACAGTTTGGCTTAAATGTATAAAGATTAAATTTATAAAATAAAGACAGTGGCCTGCATCAGAGCTGTTGATTTTCAGGCTGCTTGAAATGACAGTGGTGGTGATCTTTTTGAAGCTTGCTTGATTTTTCTGTGAAATGGCAAAATAAATGAGAATATCCACAAGGAATCAGAAGATGGGTTCAGTGGGACCCATTGAGTCCCGAAAACCCCTTAGATGAGTCAGCATGTCCTAAACTTTCTCCTCAACTGAGTCAATTTCAAGAGCTTTCAGGCAACATCATGGGTTCTCACCAGTTCAAATGATGACACAGTCATTTTCGCATCTGTGGTGAGACAGAAAGCCATGGTTTTCTCTTCTACAGATGAGCAGAACTGTCAGTTTTGGTATCTTTCAATTTTT